CCCCCAGACAGCCCCCCCCGAACTCCTGACCCATCCAACCCTCCCCCTGCTCCCTGTCTCTTGACTACCCCCCCCCCCAGAACCTCCCTGCTGCTTCTCTGACCCCCGGCCCCCTTACTGTGCTGCAGAGCAGCGCGCTCGACAGCCGGGGAGGGGAGCAGGGTCGGAGCTCCAGACTGCCGGAGGCCGAGGCGACGGCCGGCGATCTGTGAATGCAGGGCGGGGGGAGGGAGGGAAAGGAGGGAAGTGGTGTCAAGTTGCAGGAGAGAGGAGGGGGGAAGTGGAGGAAGGGCTTTGGCTGCCGGAGCCCCATGCGAGTGGCACCATCCGGCCGGCTGCCCTGTAAGCCCCGCATGCTCTGCATGTGGGGGGGGAGTCCGGACATTGACAAATTCCCCCCGGACGCTATTTTTAACTGAAAAAAGCCGGACATGTCCGGGGGAATCCGGACGAATGGTAACCCTAGAGGATTGGCCACTTGACAAGGTGATTAGTACAGCGCTGCAAGCGTTTACACTCACACCCGTGAGTCGTAGCCACTCCGCTGCAGCTGTTATTCCTCTCGGAGATGTGGAGTACCTGCAGCGGTGTACCCAGGGAGATACAGCGCTGTAAGTGCCTTGCCAGTGTGGACGTGGAGTGAGTTACAGCGCTGGGGGAGGCTTTACAGCACTGTAACTTGCAAGTGTAGCCAAGGCCTATGTGACGATTCTGTGGTTGCAATCAACAAAGTGTGGTGTTTAGATGCTGCTTGTAATTATTAGAACTGGGAGCACTGGCTGTTGGGAGTCTGAAAGGACAGGAAACAGGAAGGAGGGGGAAGGAGTTGAGGAGGCTGGGAGAGTTACAGGGTGTGCAGCTACAGCTTGGAAAAGAGACTTCCGCTATAAATAAAGTTCCGTTAAAGTTTGTTAAAACCTTGCATGGTGGATACAACACAAAGCCACGGGTTATTTCTGCAGTGCCATAGGTGTGGATGGTGAGTATTCACAGAGAAGAGAAGGACTCGGCCCCGAGGAGGTCACAGTCTGCAACACGGTGGCCTGAGGTACCAGATCTAAATAATCTTCTTGCTTATTTTACAATACGATATGGAGCAGTTAAAATAACGGCACTAAGTCCAACACACCAGCAATGCTCTACAGCAGCTCCTACGCAGAAGCTGGGATGCGGTTTCCTCCTCAGTTGCATGGCAGATTTGGATGCTAATTTGAAGAGGAGTGAGTGAATGGCAAAGGAAAAGCAAACACTGGTGATGAGCCAGTGATGTGATGGAAGGATCTAAACTAGGCCTAATGGGAAAGCTCTACAGGTACAAATATAAAAATATTCCTTATCAGCACTTGGGATTATCCCTGATCAGCCTTTGGTGTCCAGAGACCCCTATAGCTGCTCCAGTGCAAACCCCCACTGTAGACCAGGCTTCAGTGTCCTTCTCATACCCTACTGAGCAGATGCTGGTGCACTCAATAAACTGTTGTTAAGCCCTGCAATCTTGCATCTGGAAAACACATACTCCTGAAAAGAGTTCACCATCCTGAGGAAGCATCACCACATTACCTTTCACACATCAGCCATAGCATAATTCCCTGTCTGCTCTCTGGGTGCAAATGGTGCAGGAGATTTATCATCAATATTATTTGTCTCTCTTTACGTGTGATTGCTGATCCTCCCAATCAAAGATATTATCGGGTTGCCTCTTACAGTGAAATGCAGTGACTGGATTTAAGCCGGGGTCTCCTTCCAACCAAACCAGTTCAGAAAGGAGGAAAGAAAAGAAAAGAAAAGCACAAATAGTTTGAGAATAAAGGGCTGAGAGAAAATCCTTGTGAATCTGTCAAGATAAGGCCTTTTCCTGTAGCCATAGTGCGAGGCCTAAGGCCTGTGTCTGCAGCCATCTTAGGAGAGCAGCAGCCATTAGTTACGAAGCCAGAAGTCACATCCTCACATTCCATCTTAATTACATTACAACAATGTAATAGCAGGCTGTTAAGAAGGCGCACCTGTCCTAATAGCACCCACCATCACCAGATAAAGAAACAGATCTTAAGATGGTTAAAGAAAACTTAGGGCATGTCTACACTTGCACATGTAGAGCGCTTTGAATTAAAACAGTCTTTGTAGAGCACAGTAGGGAAAGCGCTGCAGTCTGTCCACACTGACAGCTGCAAGCTCACTGGCATGGCCACATTTGCGGCAATTGCAGCGCTATTGGGAGCGGTGCATTATGGGCAGCTATCCCACAGAGCACCTCTTCCCATTCTGGCGCTGTGGCTTGTGGGAAGGGGGCGGGGGTTCAGGGCAGTCTGGGTCCTGTCCCAACGCCCCATGATGCATCAGTTCACAGCCAGCAATCCCTGTGCTTCCATCCACATTTGGTGCTAGGGTGACCAGACGTCCCGATTTTATCTGGACTGTCCCGATATTTGCCTGTTTGTCTCTTGTCCCTACCAATGTTAGGTCGGGACATTGGACAAACAAGCAAAGGCTCCGGAGCCCGGAAGGGCTCGCGCCCCCCCCCCACCCCGACTCCGCCCCCTCATTCCACCATTGGCTCCCTCCCCAAATCCCCTCCTCTTCCCCCAAGCTCGCCATTCCTCCTCCCTCCACAAGCGCTGGAGGGAGGCCCCGGAGATGCAGGGGAAGCACGGGGCCAGGGTGAGTGAGAGTCCGGCCTGGCCCCGAGCGCAGGCAGGACTCAATCGGGCAGTACCTGGAGGGAGAGGAGGGGGGCGGCCCGCGGGGCCAGGCAGTGGCTGTTCTCCCCACCTGGGCAGCGGGACTCGGCAGCAGCAGCTGCTGCAGCTCCCACTGCCGCTGCGGGAGGAAGCGGCCAAGCACGTGGCGCTTGGCGGCTGTGGCTCTGGTGCCCGGGCTCCGGGGGTTCGGGCCCGGGCGCCAGAGCCGCAGCCGCCGAGCACCACATGCTTGGCCGCTTCCTCCCACAGCGGCAGTGGGAGCTGCAGCAGCGGCTGCTCCCGAGTCCCGCTGCCCAGGTGGGGAGAACGAACAGCTGCTGCCTGGCCCCGCGGGCCACCCCCCTACTCTCCCCCCAGGTACCGCCCGACTGAGTCCTGCCTGCTCGGGGCCAGGCCGGACTCTCACTCACCCCAGCCCCACGCTCCCCCTGCGTCTCCGGGGCCTCCCTCCAGCGCTTGCGGAGGGAGGAGGAAGGGGGGGTTGTTATTTTGCTCTGCCGCTGTTTTTTTTTTTCTCCCCCCCCCCCACGTCCTGATATTTGACCGGGGTGATCTGGTCACCCTATTTGGTGCCATCTTTCTACGTT